CCCAAAGTTGCTTTTGGTCACTGATCACAAACTAGAGCACCTACTATAAAGGACACTGTCCTAACTGGGAGGGGACATAGTTCAGTGGTATAGTGTTTGCCTGGTGCGGGTAAGGTTTAGCAAGGGTAAGAAAGGAAAAGAAACACCAAAACGTCAAAAAACCAATGAGAGCAGGGCATAGTCAGAGACATCTGTCATCCGCCACTCAGGTGACAGAAGTAGGAGTGCAAGGCCAGCCTAAGATCAACAGTCCTAAGATAGCCTGGCAACACAGCAAGACTCCACATCAGAACAACAAACGCATTTGGTATACATAACCTACACAGCATCACTATTTAGCAACACAGTGTAACTATTGTGTCAATGTTTCCATTCGTACTCATGTGGCTAAGTAGGAACCGAGAAAAAAAAAACCCACAACTACAGCTACATGGACATGTCTTATACACATACACAGAGGAGGGCAGAGCTTCTTCAACGAAGAGTGTGGAAAATCTATATTTTTATAAGTAGAACAACAAAATAAAATCTCACACAACAAAAATTAACTTAAAATTAATTCAAGACCTTAAGTAGGCCCTTAAACTTCGAAATCACTAGAAGATATGAAAACTTCAAGATGTAGGAATAGAAAAGGGCTTTCTAAAAAGGCCTCAAACAGCAGAAAAGGTAATCCCAACAACTGACAAATGATGAAACTAAAACATCGATGCTCAGCAAAGGAAGAATCGGCATACTGAAGAGACAGCACACAGGATGGGAGAAAAACCTTTGCCAACTACACATCTCATAAAAGATTAATACTTAGATTCCATAGAAAACTCAAAAGACTAAAACATTCAAAGACTATGTCATCCAATAAACAAATGGAAACATAAATTGAAGACATTTTTCAATAAAAGAAATTGAGAAGCCACAGAGATAATACACAGCTCAGCAGCTCAGAGCACGTGCTTTTCTCCCAGAGGATTCAGAATCGATTCTAGGACCCACATGGCAGCCTACAAAACGAATCCAATAGCTTCTGGCTTCCTCAGGCACCAGATAAGCATGTGGTACACAGACATACATGCAAGCAAATCAGAAACACAAATGGACACAGCATATTAGAAATAAATATATGGCTGGGCGGTGGTGGCGCACGCCTTTAATCCCAGCACTCTGGAGGCAGAGGCAGGCAGAGCTCTGTGAGTTTGAGGCCAGCCTGGTCTATAGAGCGAGTTCCATGATAGCCAGGATTATAAAGAGAAACCCTGTCTCGATAAACCAAAGGGGGAAATATAATTTAACACCCTTAGTTGCCATGATAATGTAATTTAAAATTGCTTCTCAAATCTGTTTCATCACAGTCAAATTGGCTATTATCAAGAAAACAATGATGGCAGATACTGTTGAAGAGGGAAGACAAAGGAATCCTTATATAGTTACAGGTGAGAATGAAAACTGTGTAGATCAATATAGGTATTCCTCAAAAACAAAAACAGGCCAGGCATGGGTGCAGTGATATTCATTTGTATTTTAATAAATAAAGGTTGCCTTAAGTTCAGAGATTAAAACAGCCGCACTGGTCAGCCTTACAGACCAGGCAGTGGTGACACACACCTTTAATCCCAGTAGCCACACTAGTTTGCCATTGAAACCAAGTGGTAGTGGTGTCTGCCTTTAATGCCAGCACTAGTGAGGAATATAAAACAGGAGGAGACAGCTCTCAGACACAGTCTCATTCTGAGATTCCTAGAGGCAGGATCGCCATTTTGGACTGAGGTAGAGGTGAGAGCCAGTGGCTGGCTGCTTTGCTTTTTTGACCTTCAAGTTGAAAGAAATTTCTGTCTATTGGTTTTTATTAATTGTGCTACACATTTGTGGCTGACTCCTTTAATCCTAGCACTTGAAAAACAGAATCAGGCAGATCTTTTTGAGTTCAAAGCCTGTGTAGTCTACATACTGAATCCTAGGCCACAAGAGCTACACAGTTAGAGGACATCACAACAAACACATAGAACTACCCTGCGATCCAGCCATACTATCCCTTGGCATATACATACCCAAAGGAATCTAAGCAAGCACACCAAAGAGATACTTAGACAACCATGCTTATTACAGTACTGTTCTCAATAGTCAAGATGTGGAAGTAACCCAGAAATCCAACGATAAAGAAAATGTGAAAACATAGGAGCTTTATTCAGCCTAGATAGATGAGATCATTTTAATAAAAAATTTTTCCTTGTAAAATATTAAGGTATTATACTCACTTTGGCAACTACTTTGCCTTGTTTTGTCTTTCTTCCTTTTCTTTATGAGGCAATCACAGTGGATTATATAACCATTCAAGGTGTTTAATATACTCACACATGTGGTAGTTTGAATGAGAGGTTCCTCATAAATATCAAGCATTTGAATACTTGCCCAGTTGGTGGCTATTACAGAGGATTAGGATGTGTACACTGGCCGGAGGATGTAGGGGTGTCGAGGTGGATCTACTCCACCTGGACCAAAGGTTAGAGAATTCAAGTCTGTTCCTTATATCATGTTAATGAAGTCCGTTGCCTCACCTCTCCCCTTTTGGAGTGAAATATATAAGCAGGTGGAAAATAACTTCAGGTGGTTCAGTACTCACTGAATGTCCCTCCCGAGGCTGTTCTGTGTTTCTGTCTCTGTTCCTTTTACTTAATAATTCGAACCCTCATGGTCCTACACAGGAACGTACAAGTTTTGTCAAAGCTGATCTTCAACAGCATGTCACTGGGGACAAGCTTTAAGGTCTCAAAAGGCTCAGGCCACTTCAAGTTAGCTCTCTCTGTTTTCCGGCTAGTGGCTGTGAGCTCTCAGCTATTGCTGCCAAACTTTTGTTCTGTCAAGATAGACTCTAGCCCTCGGGAACAACAAGCCCAGTTCAACTTTCTTCAATGAACTGCTTGGTCATGATGTCTCTAATACAATGGTGTAACTAATACAATGCACATTTTTATAGAGCCTTAGAAAATACAACTATTTATTATACATAAGTAGAAAATACACATAACATAAAAAGGATCTGAGAATGAGAAAGCCTTCAATTTAGGACAATTGTTACTAAGCAAAGGAACGCCACAGCTCAGCATAGGGCTATGGGACACTGTGTAAGGTGAGGATCCACTAGAAAGGCCTTAGCTGGCTGAGCATGATGGATTCAACAGGACGAGGATTCCAAATTCAAGGCCACTCTGGGCTTTATGACAATATCCAAAAAGAAGAAGAAGGAAGAAGAAGGAGGAGAAGGAGAAAAAAGAAAGAAAACTTCAGTCTAGATAGCCTCAAATCCTTTGGTGATATTTTATTCCCTAACTTAGGTGGTATCAACTAGTTCAGCATATTAATTTGCAGGCTTTTTGCTGTTGTTTTTTAAGAAACTATAGCTGGCATGCTGATGCAGACCTTTATCCTAGCAGACAGGGACCAAGAAATTTCTGTGAGTTCAAGGCCAGCTGGCCCATAAATCAATGTCCAAGCAAGGCAGAACTACACAGTGAGACCCTGTCTCAACAAATCAAAAAGAATGTAAATATAAGTTAACTTTCATTTTATTTTTAATTCTGCAATGTAAAGATCTATTGCTATAAACTGAGAGAGAGCACCATGCGGGTAGGGTTCCCATGACAAGTATCACTGTACTAATAGAAAAAGGGGCACTGGCAAGCCCCTCTCTCACTCATTCTCCCTGTCTCACTCTCTCTGACTTCTCTTCCTCTCCTCACCTTTTACTCCTTCCTTCCCCTCTATCCTTCTCTCTATCTTCCTCTCTTTTACCCTCTTCTTCCCATCTGTACCTCTACAGACTCCTCTCCCCTTCTCTTTCCCATATAGTTTCAATGACAGGACAAACAAGAAGGCAACTGCTTGCAAGGCAAAAAGAAAATCCACACCGAGCCAAACAGGCCAGAACTATGAACCTGAACTTCTCAACCTCTACATTTATGAGGGTTAAATTTTGTGTAAACATTCCCTCAAAGATACTGTGTTGTAGAGTAAATTAGAATTAATGTCTCCCTCCTTTGTTCTACTTAGTAATAGGACTAGAAAGCAAATTTTCTAACCACTGAGAAACATTTAGGCTGTTTACAGCTTTATACTCTGCCAAGAAAATTTTATACTATACATTTTTAAGACTGATTTTTATTTTATATGTATGAGTGTTTTCCCCGCATATATTCATGCATACAATCCGAATACCTGGTACACACAAAGGTCAGAAGAAGTTGTCAGGTCGCCTGCAACTGGAGTTATGGATGAGTGTAAAACACCAAATGGGTGCTGGGAACTGAACTGGGGTCCTCTTTAAGCAAGTACTCTTAACCTCTGAGTCGTACATCTTTCCAACCCAGTCTTTTTAACCTTTAAATCTGCACTGTGATTTTTCTGACTAATGTGATGAACTTATTGCTCTATTGTGATATAGCCCCAGCACTAGTTACTTAGTACATCTTTTCCCCATCAGAGCAACCAAGACGACACCATCATCAAAGACTGAATCCCCTTAACTTGCAAATCTGTTATTCTGATCTTTTTATGTTTTTACCTCTTCTGAGTAAGATGAATAAGGTGAAAGATAAGACTTTGCTAATTATTAGTAGCAGTGAATAACAGTTGCATCATGGCTATTCACAATATGCAACATGTATTTTTCTATTAATGTCCCATAACTAATTACTTTAGACACTGTGCTCCAGTATCTTTAGGTTCTGAGTTTCAGAACAAAATAACCCTAACTGATCACTTGGTGACACAAAATCCTCTTGAGAATCAATGGCATACAAAATCCAGAAATTAATTAAAACCTCCTTTGAACCATGAGATTCTATTCCATCTGGAGCTTATCAACTGTAGAGTATGCTACCATTACAGAACAAAGTGACTTAGACGTGTGATCTCTGGTACAGAACCAACAGCATCATCCTCTGTGGATTAAAGCGGCCTTTGAACACTAACATGCCAAGACAGAAGTCAAGAGGAAGAGTGGTTACCAGGGAGGAATCCTGCCTGCAGAGAGCTTGCCCTTCTGCCCTTCACACAAGAGTCTGTTTGCAACTGAGACTGGGTTCTTGATTCCTACAACAGAAAAGAGACATAAAAAGAAATCAGAAATGTCTTCACATTTCTCCACTTAGTTTTGTGCTGTTTCAATAACTTTAAAATATCTTTGAAATTCTTTACAGACAACAAATATAGTAACACAAACTTAACACGAACACAATAAAAACTTAAAATGTAGTCTACGGAAGCAGTTCTCAACTTGCGGGTCATGAACCCTTTGAGAACTAAACTACCCTTTCACAAGGGTAGCCTAAAACCATCTGCATATTAGACATTTGCGTTACAATTCATTAACAGTCGCAAAATTATAGTTATAAAGTAGCAACAAAAAAAATTCCATGGTTGGGGGTCACCACAACAGGAAGAACAATATTAAAGGGTTGCAGCATTAGGAAGGTTGAGAACCACTGGTCTTGGGGAACTTGGACCTGAGACTAAGAAGTAGACATTTTAAAACACAATTAATAAAAACTCAGAGAGAGAGATTAGGGATCAACCTGAAGACCAGGAAAGCAAAACAGGCAGCCACTGGCTCTCACCTCTACCTCAGTCCGAAATGGCGATCCTGCCTCCAGGAATCTCAGAATGAGAAAGAGACTGAGGCTGAGAGCTGTCTCCTCCCGTTTTAAAATCCTCTCGAGTTCTGGGATTAAGTGTGTGCACCACTACTGCCTGGTTTCTATGGCAAACTAGTGTGGTTACTGTGATTAAAGGTGTTGTCATTGTGGTCACTGGGATTAAAGTTCATTGCTGCCTGGTCTGTAAGGCTAGCCAACGTGGCTGTTTTACTCTGCGGATCTTCAGGCAAGCTTTATTTATTAAAATACAAATGAAATGCCACTACAACATTTTAATTTTCAAACAGTGTTTGTTAATACGGAACTCATCTAATACATATTCAAGCAAGAACTGCACACTGTGGGCAGAAAAACAGCCGGAATCCTTTCCTGGTAGGAGGAGAGCCCACGCAGAAAGGTAAATACAAGCGTGTCTGTGTCCCATCCATCAACTCACCCACCCCTGAACATGGGACACGCAACAGCATGTGGAAAAGGTGAGCACACCTGTAAACCCAGCACTTGGGATACAGAGACAAGAGGATTGCCACACGTATAAGTGTAGTCAAGGATACATACAAGTGTCAACCTCGCCTATGGAGTAAGACTTTGCCTCACAAAACACAAAAGTCATGACAGAATTAGAACTGAAAAAGCAAATTAACTTTCCGTCCTCTTTCACAAGGTATGTCCATTACCTGCATTCAACCTTCCCTTACCTCTTACACTTAGCCTTTCTTGTTATACTGTACCCACATGTACATTGATGTACATATATACATCTATTATTGGCTAGAGTCCATGCCTGAAAGAGAACATACATTTTTTTGTTTCTGATATTGTGTGACCTCACTTAATATTTCACATTCTATGTCCATCAATTTTCCTGCAAGTTTAAATTTTATTTTTCTTTAGAGGTGAGTGATATTTCATCAAATATATATATATATATATATATTTCATCATACATATATATATGTATGTATATATATGCCAAATTTTTATATTGTTATCTGCTGAAAAACAACTAGGTAAATTCCAGTTCTTTGATATAAGTGAATTAAGCAGCAATAAAAACAGGAGTGTAAATATTTCTGTGGTTGGCTGTGGATTTACCCCTCTGAATATATCCCACAAGAGAAATAGCTGGGTCATACAGCAGTTCTGTGTTTAATTTTTGAGCACTCCATACTGATTTCCACAATTGTATTAGTTGACATGCCCACCATAATGGATTAAGGCTTCATTCTCTCCACATGCTCTCCAACATTTGATGCAATATTTTTTGAGAACAGTGATGTCTTATGTGATGACTCTCAAAGTAGTTTAACTTTGCATATCCCTGATGGCTAGGAATACTGAGCACATAGTTATTGGGCATGTGTATTTCTTTTTTGAAAATGGTATTTTTGGTTCATTTGCTCATTTGTTGATTGTCAATTTTATTTCCTTGGTATTTAAGTTCTTCAATTCTTTGAATATTCTAGACAATAGCCCAGTGTCAATATGCAGCTGGTAAAAACTTTTAACCATTCTGCCAATGGTAAATGCCTTTAATCCCAGTACTCAGGAGGTAGTGGCAAAAAGATCTTCATGAGTTCTATGCCAGCCTGGTGAGTTCCAGGATAGGTAAGGCTAAACAGAGAAACCCTATCTCAGAAAACCAAAAAGAAAAAAGAAAAAGAGGAAGGAAGAGGAAGAAAAAGAAACATTATCATGTTTTGGACTATTAGTGCTACTGTTTCCTTTGACTTTGGAACAAGTCCAAGAATAGAGTCCTGGGAGGGGAATTCTGAGTGCTTGTTAGAAAACTCTATGAAAACAAGACTGTGTGGTGGTTTGAAAAAATCAAAAAATGGTCCTCAAAGGGATTGTCAATATTAGAAGGTTCCTTGTTGGAGGAAGTATGTGTCTGTAGAGGCAGGCCTTGAGATCTCACATATACTCAAGCCATGCTCAATGTCTCAGACCTCTTCTTTCTGCCTGCAAGTCAGGATGTATCAATTCTCAGCTCCTTCAGCAGCACCATGTCTGCCTGCACACTGCCATGTCCTGCCAAGATGCTAATGGACCAAACCTCTGAACTGTGAGCCACCCAATTAAATGTTTTTCTTTATAAGAGTTGCTGTGGTTATATCTCTTCACACCAATAGAAACCATAACTAAGACAGTCTTATGACCTCAGTTTCTTCAAAAACACAAAATTGTTCTTGATATGTGCCTTCATGCCTCTCCCAGGTACATCAGATAGGAGTGAGTTTACTTTAATTGATTATTCATTACAATTAACTATTGTTATTTATTTATATATCTCTATGGAAAAACGTATTTTTGCAATATGTAGCTTGTCCTTATGACTGTATACTTTACTCATGGAATTCTTTTTTTAAAAATATTTATTTATTTATTATGTATACAATATTCTGTCTGTGTGTATGCCTTTGGTAATGTCACTGGCTGATAAAGACCACCCAAAGATCAGCTTTGGACTAAAAATTGCTCAGGACAATTTCAAGTCAGCTAGCTGAGATGGTCCAGACTCATGCACTTCTCCAGCCAGGACTTCAGATAAGGACTACACTTTCCCATTATGGAGGGACTGGCAAAATATAACATAGCTAGCTTTCTCAGGACTTGATCATTAACTTACTTTTCTCAGTGTCCCCGAGAGATGTCACCACCCACCCAAACAGCAGGAAGCAATATAAAGAACATAATACCCACATTTCCAAGAGATGGGATGGATGGCTATTAGTCACCCAATAGGTTATAGATATTACTCATCATTTAGGAGGATGGGTTACAATTTGCTATTGGTAATGGCCAGGAAAAACATTAAGCAAAGAATATAAGATTCAGGGATCTCCTTTTAAAAAGAAAAAAGGGGGATATACAAATGATAGGATAAAATGGTAGATGATTGAATCTACTATTAAACTAAAAAAGCAACTACCAGTCTTAAATATTTTACATTGGTATAGATTTCTGTATATTGATACAAATTTAAGGTTATTTTTGCTATACTGTATATATTTTTCTACTCTTGTTTAAGATATTTTAGTATATTGATATAATTTTAAGTTTAATTTTGTTAGAATATACTGTATATATGTTTCGATTCTTGTTTAATGTATTGTACCTATGCAGCTCATATCTAGTCCTTAAAAGTTATTATTACAAACTATTTAGGATAATAAAGAAATGCAGGTTGGTAGTCATCTATTATACTCAAACTTATTGTTATATAGGGTATGTTTTCAAGGTCAAACATATATATTAGTAAGTGCTCTTCAACACTTTATAGAGCTACAGAATATGGCATTTAAGATGCCTTAAAAATATAAGGCTTTAGCAGGGCAGTGGTGGCGCACGCCTTTTAATCCCAGCACTCGGGAGGCAGAGGCAGGCGGATCTCTGTGAGATCGAGACCAGCCTGGTCTACAAGAGCTAGTTCCAGGACAGGCTCCAAAACCACAGAGAAACCCTGTCTCGAAAAACCAATAATAATAATAATAATAATAATAATAATAATAATAATATAAGGCTTTGTATGATGAGACACGCCTACTCCTAGCAGCACCAATCTACTTCAGAAAAGATGATGGGCATTGAAGAAACTCCACATGGAATTTACTTCCTTTTGGCAAAAGTTAGTAACTGAGCAAGAAATGGCCCTTTTCTCAACTGCTGACAGTATGTTCACCAGATTGGACAAGCAGGACACAAAAGAAAGTGATTGCCAAACTTTACCAAAACAAGGCAGGACAGTCCTTCAAAATTTCTGCTTCACATTAGTCAGATATTCTAGGCCTGTCAGCCAAAGATGGATACCCCAACATTACAGAGGAACCTTGGGTGATTGTCTAAATAGCCAGCTGTTTCTATCATTTCTTACTTACTTTTGGAAGCTGTCTGCTCTGTACTTCCTGTTTACTCAGGTAATATTATATCCTTCCTGGGTCACTGATGGCATTAAAGACTAGATAGTTATAGTTAATAGTTTTCCTTGTTACAAAGTTCAGAAAAGAAACTAACAAAAGAGGTGTAAAGTGTGTAAGATTGAAAGACATAAAAAGATTGTTTGGGGCTGGTAATACAAGTTAAGATAGAAAGTGAATTAGGTAGAATGCTTTGGACTCACCAAGACAGGTTAGATAATGAAGTATTTTCTCTAAATTTGTCAAATGCAAATGGACTGGACATTGTGAACATAATTATTTCCTGAAAATTGTTCTTATTATATATATAGTTTTACTATGTTAGAGTTAAAACCTTCCCTTTTTATTTAAAGAAAAGGGGGAAATGTGTGATATTTTGATTGCATTTAATAACAGAGTTTGCTTTGAATCAGAGGGTGGAGCTAACCATTAGCTGACCAAAATTAATTAGAGGGGTTTTGGAGGATTGAGGACAGAGATAAGTAGTAAGGCAGGGCTGAGAGAGAACCTCAGTCCTTTTGGATGGAGAAATCAAAGAGACAGAAGGTCACTGGTGCCTTCTCTGCCATTTCTCTGATCATTCATTTTCTTACCCTAATATTTGACAGCCAAATTAACTGATAAAGAATAATTAGATCATCATCATATGGGTTTGGGGTGCAAGTGTTCATGGAGAACAGAGGCATTAGTTCCCCTTAACCTGGATTTATAGGTGGTTTTAAGATAGTAAAGTTTTCTGGGAATTAGACTTGGGCCCTTTATAAGAACAATATATGCTTTTAACTACTAAGCCATCTCTCCAATTCAGTGTTCTAAATCCTAACATGATAACATTTAAAGTCTTGATCAAAGTGTATATATATGGCTGGATACCTTAGAAACTTCATATATCTACAGATAAAAATATGTACATTTAATGAATCTTTAAATGAATCATAAACCACTAAATCAATCTTTTATGTACTGATATAAAAAGACAGCCACAGATTCTGATTTAAATTTTTAAAAAAAAGTTCCAGCAGTGGGCAGGGTGCTGCAAACCAAAATTTCTAATAGTCAAAGGGCTAGTGCTGGAGTATGAAGAAGTTAGAGCCTGCCTAGTTTGAAAAGCTCGAGGACAATTTGAGTTATATAACGAGACTCTGTAAGAAAAGAGGGGGAAGAAAAGGGAGGAATCCTGTTTCTGTTTCATTAAAATATATAAATGTGGGCCAGTGAGATGGCTCAGCAGGAAAACATGCTTGTCGTACAAAGGTGAGGACCTGCCAGGCGGTGGTGGTGCATGCCTTTAATCCCAGCACTCAGGAGGCAGAGGCAGGTGGATCTCTGTGAGTTCGAGACCAGCCTGGTCTACAGAGTGAGTTCCAGGACAGGCTCCAAAACCACAGAGAAACCCTGTCTCAAAAAACCAAAAAAAAAAAAAAAAAAAAAAAAAAAAAAAACACCAAAAACAAAGGTGAGGATCTGATTTAAGCCCCAGAACATACACAAAAAGATGAACGGGGCAGCATGCAGTTGTGACCTCAGCTTTCCTATCATGAGATGAGTGCCCCCTCTAAGGAGTGGATGGGGGAATTAGATCAGGGGTGGGGGGAGAATGGAGGGGAACTGGGGTTGGTATGAAAAATGAAAAAAAAATTTAATGGAAAAAAAAAACTGCTTATACTTAAGATTTTATGATCTTTATTTAGTAAAGAGGAATAATAATTATTTCAGCACTACTCCAAACAAAAATGATTACAAATACAGGACTAAGTTTTCAGAAGGCATGAAATGGTAACAAACTCAGTTTTTCAAATAATAGAGGACTATGTCATAATGCCCACATACCACTCAAGGCTCCAACTGCTCCAAAATTCAAGGATTTCCCATCCATTATGCTGGCATCACACTCGATTTCTCCTAGGAGATTCAGATTAGATCCCATTCCTGCATTTGTAAACGGAGAATCCTGAAAAGCAAAAATGAATTTAAATACTATTAGTCTTAAAAAAGAATTAATGTCAATCTTTCATAAACCCTCCAAAAACTAGAAGGTAAGGGAATACTTTCTAAGACTCAGGCAATGTCAGTACTTCTCTGATGACAAAGGACAAAAATATTATGACCAAAATTAGAAAAAAATTAGAGACCAATATACTTTATACTTTGTAGATGCTAACATCAAAATCATTGAAGAAACAAAAGCAAACCAAATCCAGCAGAATATAAACAAGTGTTTATATCATGAACAAGAGGGATCTCAAGAAACAAGTCTGATTTAATATCTAGAAAAAAAATCAATCAAAATACCACATGTTAATAAAATAGGCATGTCAGGAAATATAGGAAAAAGACATTTAACAAACTACTAAACCCTTTTATAAAAACAATAAAAAAAAACCACTAAGTAACCTAGAAACAGAAACCAACATCCTTGCCATGATAAAGGAAACCTAAAAAAGTCCAGCTAATATTGCAAAATGGGGAAAAGGGGAAATCCTGAATAATTTTCCCTGAAAATTATCAAAAATTACAAAAACATTATCAAAACACAAGAGAAATATCCGTTCTCACTACTTCTTATTCAACAAGATGCAAGAAAATCACAGCATGACAATTAGGCAAGGAAAAGAAATAAAGAGCAACTAAACTAGAAAGAATCAAGTATCGTCTCTTTTAAAAAAAGAGAGAAAGAAAAGTCAACATAATCTTTTTAGCATGAGTTACCTGTACAAAATAATGGATTATGACAGGCCATGTAGCTTGAGCTACATGAGACCCTGTCTCCAAAGGATAAGAGAAATGTTAAAATAGGGCCATAATGAAAATAAGTTTATGGAATCTGGAATGGTGACTCGTACTTAAGAGCACTTGTTGCTCTTGCAGAAGTCCCAGGTTAGATGCCTAGCACCAACTTGGTGCTTCACAATGACTCGCAACTCCTGTCATTGGAAAGGCAGGAGCCTCAACTGAGAAAATTCCTCCATAAGTTAGGGCTGTAGGCAAGCCTATACCTGTAGGCATTTTCTTAAATAGTAATTAATGGGGGAAAGCTCAGTCCATTCTGGGGATGCCATTCCTAGGCAGCTGGTCCTGGGAGAAAGCAGAATAACCAAGCCATAAGGACTAAGCCAGTTAGCTGTTCCTGCCTCCTCCACGTTCCTGTCATGTTTGAGTTCCTGTCCTGATTTCCTTCAGTGATGAACAGTTGTAAGAGAGCAGAAGCCAAATAAACCCTTTCCTCCCCACGTCACTTTGGTCATGGTGCTTTATCACAGCAATAGTAACTATGAGACAAATCTAACTAAGACAGTGTACATCACCACAGTTATCTTACTTCCTAATCTTTGTTATTAATCTGCCCCACAGAGCATAAGCCCCTTTATCTTTTCAGGGGTTTTATTCCAGAGTTAAAAAACAATGTTTCATCCACACATGGTAAAAACTTGTAGAATGACTGAATGGAAGCTAATTATAACTAGGTAAAATAGAATAATTAATATTGTGAACCCCTTGAGCCAGCTAGATAATAATTCTTGCATGGCATTCTTACAGAGAAACTCAAAAAAAAAATAGCAATATCCCTTTGAAAAAAAGGACAGAAGAAGCACCAAGCCAGGATCTATTCTCCTAACATGACAAGGAAGCTTTTCCTACAGTAAATCTGGCAGCTTCCAGCCAAGGCAAGGAGCTACAACACATACTTTTTCACTAAAAACCACAAGCTGCATTACCCACTTAGTATCCTTTAATAAAAGCAAAAACTAAAGACAGTTTGCACAGTTACAGGGTATACCATACCTTGGGAGATTCATTATGTGACCTCTATTAACACCTCTTACAAATGCAAACAATTAAGTTTTCAAATATACAAAAACAAGACTAGCATAATATAAAATCATTTTGTATAAAAAGATGCTATCTGTCCAGTCTCTTTTATTCCTGTTAGACTATGTCAGATGTCTACTGACAGATCACTAATACAGAGTGTTCACACTCTGTCTCAAGTGCAAATACAACAAGCACATCATAAGGTGAATGAGACATGGGAGAATATACATTTTTATCCATACATGATTAAGTATTCCATTGAAATGATTTAATTACTGCCTCCAATGACAAGCAAGTGATTGATCTTAAAGTAACAAGTGGGAAATAGTCTTAAAACAAACTTTCATGAATCTTTCTAGGTAAGAGTAATAGGGTATATAAATATAGCTCAATGACATAAAACTTGCCTAGCATATACAAGACCCTGAATTTGATCCCCAGTATACAAAAAAAGTAATAAAAATGGGTGCTTTTCCTTCACAGCTTTCTTCGAATTCAAATGAGAAAAATGCAGCTCCAGACTAGTCTGAGCTACATAGTGAGATCCCATCTCAAGCGAGGAGGACAGGGGGATGAAAAAAAACTTTAAAAAAGGGGCTGGTGAGATGGCTCAGCGGTTAAGAGCACTGACTGCTCTTCCAGAGGACCCGGGTTCGATTCCCAGCACCCACATGGCAGCTCACAACTGTCTGAAAATGTAGTTCCACGAGATCTGATACCTTCACACCAACGAACATAATAAAGTTAAATAAATAAATAAAAAATAAAATGTTTAAATAAAATTCTTAAAAAAAAAAAACTTTAAAAAATGAAGTATGCCTAACTTAGCCAAAACTATGCCAAGAATTATTACCTCTCTGTTATTTCCTTATTCGTTCATAATATCTGCAGGATGAAGAGTGGCGAATGAAACTAAGTTATGACAAAAACAATCAACACACACAATTCAAGGGCATATTTAACAATCAATTAAGCTCAAATTTTCAAGAACTAAATGACTGAAGGTTTTCCACTTAAATTCCTTTGTGTTAATATAGGTTAGCATTCACTCATTCAACAAATATTTATTGGCTGCCTAGTGCCAGACAATTCTTTTGCTATAAAAGGTCAGATATATTAAATGATTCAGACTTGTGGACCACACAATGCTTTAGCTACTCAACTGCCACTGAGGGACAGAAGCAGCCAGAAAAGATACACAAATGAGTGAGCAAGGCTGCATCACAAAGAAGTTGCGGTTTGTACCCTGAAATTTGAATTTCATATAATTTTCTAATATCATGAAATATTAGTTTCCTTTTGATTTTGTTTCAATCATCTTAAAAACTAAAAACCATTAAAAGTTTACAGACCATCAGAAATAGGCAAAGAGCCCATTTGGCTTTTTGACCCATTTGCTAAATAGTGAGTAAATCTTAGGGCTTATAGCAATACACAAAACAGAATACAGTCTTCCCGACAAGACGCCTCAGTCTCGGCTATAGGAGGCAGATAGATGCCTTCAGCAGCAGAGCACATGCTTAACACTGTCAAGGCCCTGGGTTCCACACTCAGTACCAAAAAAGGGGAGAAGTTGGCAGGGTGGGAAGGGAAGGAAATAGATATTCTTTGGTATCTGAAGTGGGTTTAAGTTTCATAAAAACCCCACCACCAGACGGGGTTACACAGTGAACTATCTCAAAAAATCAAAAATAATGTGAAGCATAATGGCCCATGCATATAATCTCAGCACTCGTGAAGGTGAAGCAGAAAGAGCTCCATGAGTTCAAAACCAGCTTGGCTACATAACTAAAATAATATAGTTGTTACATTGAGGAATGACAAGAAAAACTACATGTTCAGTACAGATGCAAATTTCAGTTGGAATGTTTTTGATCTGCACCTATAAAAATTGAGAAATCATGACTATGTAGACTGATGATAAATTGGATGGCATAACATACAACAATAAATATAATAACGCAAATCTAAAATAGAAGATAGGTAACGGTCAGAAAGATAAACAGGGGAGTCAAGTAAGCCACAAAGGTGTCCATAGTTTAGTTTTTATTTTGTTTCTTCTGACATTATTTCAGGCTTAAACCTACAGTATAAACCAATATCCAAGAGGCAACAAGACGGTTCAGTGGGTAAAGACACCTGCCATCACGTCTGTCAACCTGAGTTCAATAAATAGATCCACGTGGTGGAATGAGAGAACTGACCTCACAAGCAGCCTGCTGACCTGTAGATGCCATGGCACATGTGTGTTAATGCACATAATAAAATAAAAAAGGTAGTTTAAATTTCAAGTAATCCAATAACCAGAATATATACAGTTCTTCTACAACCATGAAGGATCAGAAAATAAAAATTATAAATCAGCATAAAACATGAAGTGACATCAACAAATATTTTCCCAAAGACATACAAATGGCCTACAATTCTATTAGGGAAATAAAGAAACAATGATGAAGTACTGTAGAGGTAGTTTGAATGTAATTGGTCCCCATATACTCATAAGGAGTGGCATTATTAGGAGGTGTGGCTTTGTTGGAGTAGATGTAGCCTTATTGGAAGAAGTGTGTCACTGTGGAGGCAGGCTTTGAGGTTTCATATGCTCAAACAATGCCCAGTGTCTCAGTTTACTTCCTGTTGCCTTTGGATCAAGATGTAAGAACTACTTCCTGTTGCCTTTGGATCAAGATGTAAGAACTCTTAGCTCCTTCTCCAGCATCAGTCTGCCCGCATTCTGCCTTGCTTACCAACGTGACAATAATGAACTAAAACTTTGAACTGTGAGCGAGCCGCTCCAATTAAATGTTTTCCTTTATAAGAATTTCCATGGTCATTGTGTCTCTCCACAGCAAAAGAAACCCTAAGACAGGTACCAATTCTCATTCACAAGGATAGCTTTAGTGACAAGGGTGGGGGAGGGTAGGACGGACCATAATAACTTGGATGCAAAGCAATTCTCACACATTGTTACTACAATGAAAAATGGTTCATTCTGTAGTTATGGAAAACAGCTTAATAGTTGCATAAAAAGTTCAATGTAGAATTAACACACGACCCAGAAAGTCTATGTATAGGTAAATATACAAAGAAACTAAAATTAAGTTTTCAATATCTGTACAGGTGCTATTCACAGCAAGGGTA